TTATATATTACTGGTATATAGTCAGACAACCTTATATATTACAGGTATAGTCAGACAACCTTATATAATACTGGTATAGTCAGACAACCTTATATAATACTGGTATAGTCAGACAACCTTATATATTTCTTGTATTAATGAACTTGTAAGTCACTCTTTTCCAAGCTTTTGGGCTTAGCCCTTCGTCAGGGATCAAATTTCACTGGACCTCTTTGTCACATCCATCTTGACAAACATGTTGAATAACTATGACATTGATGTTGATGATGTCATAACACTGTTACCATGACGTCAACACAACACAATGACGTCATCAAACCATGACCTCACAAATTGTGACATCATCATCAGCACTTGGTATTGATACCATTGGGGAAAGCAGTATTGAGTTTGTTAATCCAAAATCCAAGTTCCGCTCAGGAGCGACGTAAACACAGCAGGGGTCAATACTGAGTTCACAAAGTTAATACCTCGTATGTCCACCGTTTGCCTGAATGCAAGCCTGGCAACGTCGATGCATGGAGCCTATCAGACGGTTCAAGAATGCTTGTGGGATGGCATTCCAGATCTGGACCAACGCTGCAGGCAAATCAGCCAACGTCACCGGTTGATTAGGTAATGCCCGTAATCTGCGCTTCATTTCATCCCAGACGTGTTCAATGGGTGACAGATCGAGGGATACAGCAGGCCAGGGCAACACGTCAACATTCTGCTGGGCCAGAAAGTCCATAGCTACACGAGCTGTGTGTGGCCTGGCGTTGTCCTGCTGTAGCGTAAAGTGACGTTGTTGCCCTTGCACGAATGGAATGTCGTGGGTCCGGAGGATCTCGTCATGGTAATGTAGTGCGTTCAAATTCCCGTTAACAACCACCAGAGGCATTCTCCTGTTGGCTGTGATGCCGCCCCAAATCATAACGGTGCCTCCGCCGAAAGAAAATCGTTGTACCATACACGCGTCACGGAAACGTTCTCCAACATGACGATGCACTCTGGAACGGCCGTCACTACTATCCAGGTG